AATTATATATGTTTCTGATGCATAAACGTTAATATTTACAGTAATTGCTACTCAAATATTTACCATCACATCAAAAATATCACTTCTAGTAACTCTTTAATATCCAAAAATTTACATCACAAAGATTTTATGAATATGAAAATTAAATTTTAGGGGTTGGATATGTAAATCCATCAGAATTGTTTGGTATGCATGTAATATATTGTTTTATTGTCTCCTATCTCTAATGAAAGAAAATTGACATGTAATTTAGATTGCATTAAATATACATTGATCAATTATATGCTTTATTTAAATATTTATAAAAAAAAGAAATGTCATCTTCTGAAGCAGTTAAATTAACCAAACCATTCTCACAGAAAACTCTCCAATCTCAGCTTCAGCACAAGCTCAGCTCTGTACATTTTGCCAGCTAAAACCTCTTTGTACAGATTAAAATGCATGCCTTATTGGAAGATGAAGATTTACATACATACCATTCAATTCCTATGTATTTACATTTGTGACGCCAAAACTTTAATCCTTTGCATGCATGTCATCTTACCTGTGCATGACAAGGTGTATTTCACTTTTTAAATGTTAAAATGGTGTATTTTTTGATGTGATGAGAAAGATATGAGTGGCATAAATGAAAAAGGTAAAGTTTAGGGGTTAGATTGGTAAATATATAAGAATGGGTTGGTATGTATATAAATGCCGCGTAAGAAAAAATTAAATGAAAAAAGAAAATTTCAATTAAAAAATTACTAATCCGAAAGCATCTCTTCCCTTCCTGCTCCTCTGGGATGATTGTAGACTCATCATCTGCTTCAGACTCACTAATTATGCCTTCTGGTAGAATGGTTTCTTCTCCTTCATCTTCTACATCAGGAGTTTCGGAATCGTCATGGGCTTCCCGTTCATCTTCCCGCTCGGCCTCACCGTGATTCATAGAAATCGGAGACGTTTGCAACCTTGCCTCGGTATTTTCGCAAATACAAGTTGAAGGATTTTCATGAAACTCGCCTCTTCCGGGCCTCACCTCATTAGGCTCTCCCATGAATCCTCTCTGGTATTTGCATACTTTCGTCGCAAATGCATCCCAAGTCATGTTCGAACGATTAAGGAACAAAGAGTACAACTTCTTTGCATTTGGTCGTATCGTCCTCTTGTGATTGAAGTATCTCCTAACAATATAGAAAAAGAGTAAAGAGTTAAGAGAGAGAGATTTACTTGTGTAGCACACAATTCTTATGTATGTACATATCTCACACCAAAATTTTCATATTTACATGCATGAAAAAGTATATTTGACATTTAAAAAGTGCTATCAGTGCTATTTTTTTATGTGAAAATAAAGAATTGAGTGCTATGCGTATAAAAATGAAAGTTTAGGTGTGAGATATGCAAATACATAACAATTGTGCACTATGTATGTAAATGCCACTTAAAGATATAATAATGCTGAAATTTTTGTATATAACAGAGAGAAGCAAATAATCATACCTCCTACCAGCAAGAATTTTGGCCATGTTGCCATTGTTGTTGGTTACAAAAACATCGCTACCGTCGCATACAATGAAGTCGAGAGCGGCCATACGTGACGAAAAGCCAGAAAACGGAGCCAATTCCTTTTTGGCCAAAGTTTCTTTTGAATGGAAGTTGGGGAATAGAGCTTTCAAGGGTCCTAATGTGGCTTCGCCGCCGTACACTTCTCCGGAAGCCACGTAAAGGTGGACGTCGTGGCCAAAGCCTAAAGCTCGAAGCATGAGGCCTACTTCTTCGGGTGTAAGAGGGCATCGTCCTTGCCTTCGCTCCTTGTCGGGGTTGTTTTTCTGTAAAAAAACAAAAAAAAAAAAAAGTAGGAGATCAGTCATTGTGAATTTGCACAATTTGGGATCTCACTTAATAAGGCTCGAGTAGTTGATCTAATCACATGTAAAGTTCTCCATCGCCTGCGAATTGCTCCCAACTCTCTCCTTTCTTCATCTCCTCCGCCATAATAGCAACCGGAGAATGCAAGCATGTCGGGTTCGAATCTGCAAGAAGAAGCGTCTCAAAGATTGGTTGATTCAAAGCATTTGGAGAGTGATGTAAAACAAATCATAATTTAGGTGTTCGATACATGATAAATTAGCATTAGAGTTCTTTTCAAGAGTTTGCAATTCGTTAACACTTATTTACATTGCATTCCAAATTTTGTCTATATCAAATGAATTCCAACCTCCTCTACAATCAGATCCTATGATATCATCGCAAGGCATTTTGACTAAAAAGAGTTGCACATCATAAAAAAATCTCAATGGAAGATGAAAGTGGTCGGTGCTCTAGCGTGAAAATAAATAAATTTTTTCTTCATGCATATAAAAGAAAGTCTCTTTCTAGGAGAGCTCACCAACCAAAACAGCCGGTCCTTCACCAAGGCCCTAGAATTTGTCAGACGTCTCAGCAGCTCGTGTCTCCGATCGCCATAATCGTCCTCTGACAACACCTAAATCATCGACACTAGTCATTTCCTATGATGCCCGGCTCTATCAACACTGCCACCATCTTGCCATGTCACACTTATGCTTTAACGTTGCTACTATCATCAAGTGTGACTCTTGTCACTTTTAACATTGTCTAGAGCCATCAAGATGCCACATATCTATGATGTCAAGATTTTATGTAAAATAAATATTTTTCTGAAAATTTATACTAATATTATAGTAATTAAATAATAATTTATAATACGTTCTCAAAATACATGGATTTACATTATTGTAACCAAACGCCCCCTTCATAACATCTGGATTTGTTAAATTTTTACACATTTGAAACATGAGTATAATGTATTTCAATCAAAGTTGGAAATGAATAGAGCCAAAAGATATCCTAGAATTCTAAGTTCTAAGTGCCAATCTTGTTTATAATTACTCCAAAATAAATATAAAAGTTTTAAAATAAAAACTTATTATTATATGTCAAATATTCATTAATAAAAGCCGAATTTATAAAGAAGTTATAAAAAAAGAACCTAAAATTAAACAAATCATAATCAAAATATAACAAATATCCAGAAGGGAGACACTAGAGGACAATCCCAATTTATTCCATGTAAAATAGGGAAGACATTCCCACTATTTTCATGATAAATGAGTGATGCAAGCTGACTTATGACCAAATGCAACAAAAATGAAGCACAATGTGATTTCATGCACAAAATTAAGGATTTATATATTACAAGCTATCAATTAATTCAACAATTTAGCTACTTTAAGTGTAAACATGTAATACTAGAATTATAACACGACTGATGAATGGAATAGCCTGAGAAATTCAATGAGTTAGAAACACGTAAAATTAGTGAACAATTAATTTAGAGAAAGTTGCATAACTAGAACACAAAAATTCCAATGGATTTACATATCTCAAACCTAAACTTTCATATTTACATACTTAGCACTTTGGTGCTTAAGTCTATGCATGAAAATGTGTATTTCACTTTAAAAAAGTGGTATAGTGCCATTTTTTATGTGATATTAAAGATTTGATGTGTACAAATATGAAAGTTTAGGTGAGATACGTAAATACATTAGAATTCTGTGCTATTTATGCAAATGCCCCTTTAATTTAATGTACATAAATTCAATTATTGATGTATACTCTTTTATATCAAAATCAAGATAAAAAAAAAATTTAAATCAAGAGCACAAGTTTGTCAATGACAATTACAACAATGATGACTTTATGAGCGAAACGTCAGCCTTCAATTGCATTGTCAATTATAGCTCTGTCAATGGAAACCATGTTGACAACACCTCCATTAAAGCTACATCTATGAGTAATGGCTTAGTTGTTGATCACCATTCTATCAATAACCATTTTTTCTCAATCAATGAGAACTCCATCAAGGACTACACAATTAGCAATATATTTGTCAATGAAAATTTTCATCTATGTAATTCTATGGATAACACTTCATCAATTACAAGTATGTTGACAATTGCTCCATCAATGACAACAAGGTTGATGAAGTATTCAAAATCACTTTATCAGCATTGGTATAATGATAACACCACTATTATGATACCGCTTTTGTCAACACAACGAGCAACTCTTTCAAAATGAATGAACATGATCAAGGAAGATAATTGAAGACATTGATAAAACCATTTTTTTTTATCCAACGGTCCCATTTGAGTCATCTAATATTCTTCATGTTAAAAATTACCTCAATATCACATCATACTAACTCTATCAACAAGCAAAATATCCAATGGTGTAGGTTTGAACCCATTGGCTCCCAGTTGATCCAAGAATTACGGTTGATTTACCACATTGATATATTTGTTAAGGTGCACAACATATTAATATTCATAACAAGGCACTGATGTACCCAGAATAAAATCAGGTGAGCTAAGGCACAACGCGTAAAAAAAATGTGATAAGGCATTAAGTGCCCTCAAAGAGGAATAAAATTAATCTTACTCCAATTTTATCAAATATATGTCAAGGCACTAGTGTATCCCAAGGAAAAGATTCACATGAAGAAGTTGCATAGATGCATGTACCAATGCATTGGTGCGCTCCAAGAGACATATATGCTAACACTAGAGCGCATGCTAAGAGTCTGATGTAGGCTAGGGTACAAACATACAAAAAAAGTCACACCAATACATATGTTAATGCTTTGGGGTGCCCCAATGGAATATATAAGATAACAAAACACGCAATCAAGAATCAATGTTCTCTAAGGGGACATTCACATAAGTCACAAATAACTACATAAGCATATGAAAACAAACATTCAATCAAATCCATAGGTATAAACTTTATACCATTGCTCGCATAGCATAACTCCAAATCAAGTATCTCATATCCTCAAAGTAAACCAAGGTTTGCTCTCATAGTAATAAAACTAAAACAATCATAATAAATTTTTTAGCCCTTCCATATCATTTAACCATGATTGTCCATGCTCAGTGTCTCATTTTGCATGTTACAATAAGATCTATGCCAATTAAACAAAACAAAATTCTACCTCAAGTAGATCATATACCATTATTAGTGTTAGACTAAGGTTCACGACTAATAGCTAGAATAAGGCTCCCTGTTATACAAACCCTCAGAATTTGGTGGCGGTCATTCTCTAACCAATGCAAGCTAAGCCTTCACACCCTATCTACCAAGATCAAGGACAAAATAGCTAGTCTAAACTTAAGGCTACAGATTATAAAGTCCAAAACTAGCTGCTGTTTGCTTACCAAACCAAAACTTTCAAACTATAGTAATCACCTTGGATGAATTAACTCCTACCAAGGATGTCTTCACATATAGCTAAAGCCTACTGAAAAAGTGCCATATGATAAAGCAAACTCGCTGACTCAATGTCAATGGCCACAGCAAGCTCACTGAATCAGTGCTAATGGTCACAACAAGGACCCTTTTCTTATTCTATAGTTAACAGGACAAAGCAACCTAAATTTAAAGCTATATTAACAAAACCAAGGCTCTTGATACCAAAGGACTGTTAAAAGATAGATCATAAATGATGAAACAATGGATGCTTGACAAGGTTATCCACTCCTTCCCCAACACTTGCAACCACCAAAAAAGTCTTCCTTCATGCGAACCGAATTAGTTACCCACAGAAAGTATCCAGACCTAAACAAATCCTGAATCTCACAGGTGCAAAAGATGCTTACACTAGGTTGTCAATCATAGTTTCATTCACTAATTTTATGTCATGGCTTATATTTTGCGTCATGTATTATGTAATTTTGTAATTAGTATAAGTTAAATATTAGTGATTAATGTGGCATTATTCATTTGAGATAAAATTAGCATTTCCATTAAAATATTTATGGGTAGTTTTGTTATTTGGAATAATCCTTATTATAAGCGAAGCATAGAATCTCAGATGATAATGAATGGAATGTTTTGAGTTATAATTCTATGTGATTTCAACACATCACGGATGCATGAAGTTTACAATCTCCTACATAGTACATTGCGAACTCAGCACCATGCATTAAGGATTTAGCAACCAAATAATTAAGTTTAACATCAAGAAGCATGAGGATTAACCAATTAAACTTTTTCCTCTCACATTTTTCTATCTTATTCTCCAATAGATCAACATTACATTGCCCATGTCGCACGAGTTTAAAGGAACAAAAGCCTTTTTCATGAGTTTCTGTAAAATATGCAGACGTTATCATGTTGTGACTTGGTAACCAATTATTATACGTTGGGAAAATGTTAGGAAAGACAGCAACACGAACAGAAAAAAATGATCATTTTTAATAAAAGGTTAACTGAGAAATACAATAAAAGTGAACGACATAGTTTACCTGAGATGGAGAGCAATAAAATGCTTGCTCTTTGCCTTCATTCTATGTACTAACATATTGCCCATATTTTGTATTGGATCGGTAAATCTTAAAGCGAGATAATTTACTCGACATCTAAGCTTTTGCAGATCAGTCTCCAACCTATTTGATAGCCTATAATCGAACTTTGTGAGCTGAACAACCTGCACCACAATAAAGGACATTGTTAAAATGCATGCGTTGGAGCCTCAATTTTAGAGGAAGGAAAACTGAAACACAATTAACTAGACTGAGAAAAGCATAAACCAATTTAGAGATCCTTGAGAAAACATGAAATAGTGAACCAAAATAATGCCTTCATATTCATCTGACGATATAAAGTGATGCAAGACAGTCTCAGTTTACCGATACAAAATAGGATGAATTGCCCAATGAGAGCAATGTCCATGGGCATAAAAGTATTTCTAGTAGTTGGGTCATAACACATACATTACTTTTTGGTGTTTGAGTGACCAACAAACACATTTTAGAGAGGTTGGATCATGTATTGCACGGCATGAAAATGCATAAAACAACACAATAAAAAATTTTAGGGCGAATATTCAAGGATTTGTTGAAATGCAAGTGAAATTTGGAGAAAACCGCACAATGGCTCAAAGTGGATTCAAATGATTGTAGCGCAAGAGGTAAATAACAATTTCATGTACCAAAGTGTGGCCAAGATCACCTCATGAAATTTTCCTTGTTACTTTTTTTGTCCGCATATTTTTGATTAGTTTGTGAGTATGATTGATTTTAGTTGGAATTACTACAATCTAAATTCTCAAGTTTATGTGTTCATATTAACGGAAGTGTGTGGCCTTTTATGATCTCAAATATCTGGCAGAATTTCTAATTGGACAATTATCAAATTAACATTTGAAATGAATTTTATGCGTTTTCTAGTTTTCATTAAAAATAATGATTTTTTGTCTAAATTAAAACCTAAAGTAAGATAAATTTGATCTTGTGTATGTCCTTCCAAATTTACAGTAGGAAATGTAAAAATCTAAGGCGTTAAGCATCAATATTGTCAAAATAACTTATGATAGTTCACATCAATGACACAAGAAAACCGACAGACAGACAAATTTTCATGCTAAATTTGCCATCAATGAGCTGTATTTTTGTAGGATAAATTTCTTAGTATCTATACTTAAATATCTCATCCAAATAACAGGAAAGACTTTGGTTCAGGTAACATCTTGGATTGCATTTTCTTGGGACACAGCACAAACTTATTAGAAAAACAGAATTTTTTTTTTAAAAATCAAGCTAAATTTGCCATCAATCAGCTGAATTTTAGAAGGATAAATTTCTTCATATTTAAACCTACATGTTTCTTCAAAATAACAGGCAAGACCCTCGTTTGGTAACATCTTGGATTGCATTTTCTTGGCACACGCATGGTATATGGTCCTCTAATGACCTTCCCTTCCCTTCTAGGAAGTTGCTTTATAATTTTCACATCTTTCGATAGAGACGAGATGAACCAGTCAACATCAAATATTTCAGCAAAATCACTGCAGCAGCAAAGCACCAAAATATGGAAATCATGATGAAGTTGCAGCCATAAAGATTAACAATCTAGTTAAAAATCGGACTTAGGTGCAAAATGAACCTGGAATCTTTCCAGAAAGACCTCTGATCAAGCTTCGGAACAACAAGAGTTGCATTCAATATGCGTGCCGCAACAACAGCATCAGTTATCTGAAACAAGCAATAAGTAAAACAAAGTACCGACTTCATCAATAAAATGCTACAAAAGTTCTAGGGGGCATTTACATACATACCACAAAACTCTTATGTTTTTAAATATCTAACACTTAAACATTCTCAATCTTTAATATCACATCAAAAATACCATCATCACTATCTTTATAAAAGCAGAATACATCTTTTCATGCATAAATTTATGACACAGGAGTGTTTTGAGCGTAAATATCAATCTTTGGGTGTTAGATATGTAAATACATAAGAACTATGTATTATATGTGTAAATTTCCCAAAGCTCTAAGCAGTTGGGATCCATTAACGCAATGGTCTAAAATTGGTTGAATCAAAGCGCTAAAACTGAATTCGAATGTTTGTTTAAGGGAAGGTTGGTTTCAATATAAGTATTTTAAAGTGATTGGAACTAAATTATGGAATTCTGTTGGTGTTTATTTAGTAGAAAGTGGATAAAAGTCATCTCTGAATTTTAGAACTCGCCTTCACCAATGTAATAAATGCTTTAAAATAATAAAATAGCTCAACGGCAAAAGAAGGATGTTTAGAATAATTTAAAGATAATAATTAAAAAAAATATTAAAATTAATGAAAGAATGAATAAAAATGAAATGCCTTTAGTCCAAAGAAGCATTAAAATTGAGTTGCAACTAGTAAATTCATCAAAGACAAACTAGCAACACAAAAACTCACTTGAATGAAACTTAATTCCAAAGCTCAACTCCAATATAACGCAGGATGACTCCGGTAAAAGGGTTTTCTAATACAACTAATATAATGTGTAGTATAATTTCATGCAAAAAAATTAAGTAATCGCAAATCAAAAGCTACTAACTAATTCAATGAGTTTCTATCTTTAACTGTAAATAACAAATACTAAAATTTAAAACTAAATGATAATAAAATGATTGAAATAATCCAAGAATTCCAATAATAAATTGGGAACGGCTAAAATCAGAGAGCAAATTTAATTTGCACATTACATTTCTAAAATATTTCTATTTTATCAAAATCAAAACTATTAAACAAGACAATATCAAAAAAACTAGTACAACGAAATTTTAAAAAAAAAAAAATATCAGGTCTCATGTGGGTACAAGATGATTTCCTCCAGAATGACGAAATCATACTGGCATGATAGTTCATTGGAGTTATACATCCCGCTTGCACTCACAAACATAGAACAAGAAAATGAAATTATATTCAAACCAAAATTCTCAATCACTCAATTACTGTGTATTTACATATCTAACGCCTAAAATTATTTTTTTTATATACATGCCACAATACCTATGCATGAAAAGGTATATTTTACTTTTTAAAAGTTATAAAGTTGGAATTTTTTATGTGATATGAAAGATTTTGGTCGTCTAAATATAAAAAGTAAAGGGTGTCAGATATGTAAATACATAGGGATTGGGCGGTGTGTCTGCAAATGCCCCAATTAGAAAAAAAAAAAAATCTGTTTTTTCTTCTCCTATCAGTTTGACTCAAACAAATTGCTATACTATGGGATAAATACTCACTCCAGTCCTTTGTTGATTGAGGCCTCCGCTTGTTGCAATCATCAAATATCTGTTTGGATAAGTAATCACTTCAGCAGCTGCAAAAAACCACAAGGGAAAAAATTGTCACTTGAAAGAGAATGAAGCAATAAGATGCAGTTCACTTAACTTTTCAAGAACACAATTAAAAGGTCAACAAATTGACCAGTATCCTCTTCATTTTTTCAACGTGCTCTAATACTTAAAATCATTCAAATTGGAAGCTCAATTGAAGGGAAATTTGCATTTGTAGCACACAATTATTATGTATTTATATATCCCACACCTAAGCTTTCATATTTACATACTTAGCACTTAGGCGCTTTAAGCCTATGCATGAAAAGTTGTATTTGACTTTTTAAAAGTGGTAATAGTGCTATTTCTGATTTAATATTAAATATTTGAGTGCTTTGTGTGTAAATATGAAATTTTACGTGTGAGATATAAAAATACATAAGAATTGTGAGCTATGTATGTAAATGCCCCAAAATTGAAACTGTTTAATTAAAAAATTGGCCCCCAAAACAAATCCTATAGCACATAAACATGGTTACATCACCAATTCACTATGGAGCTAAGTAGGTTTGTTAACAAATTTTGAGCCAAGCTGAGGTGGCTCGAATGGATTTAATGCAGATTGAAATCGGTTCGTGGCTTGTTATATTTGATTTTGAGCCGAGCCGGCTCGAAATTTAATTTGGCTCAATCAAGCTCAAAATTGAAACGAGCTGGCTCAAATTGAATTATTTGAATATGTTTCAGCTCGGAATCGGCTCTATCCAACTCAAAATTGAAATTGACAGACTCAAATTGAGTAATTTTGATCTGTTCCAGCACGAAATTGGCTCGTGACTTGTTATATTCAATTTTACTTAGCATTAAATGTATAATTACATAAAAAATTACTGTGAGCTGATCTCGAGTCAATTCAAACCAATCCATGTATGACTCGTAGTACAAAATCAGCTCAAAAAATTTTTCATCTAAAGTTTCAGCTCGTTTATTTCAATCCTATCTCGATCTGAGCCGAAATTCGAATCTATTTTTGAGTGATTAACGACCTTCGAGCTAAATTAACAGCACTAATAGTAAGTCTCCAATTCCTAAACTTAATTGTTCTACAAACAAACAAAACTTACCTGCAAACTTTTTGCTGGCATTGCTGCAACCATAATAGTAGTTGGACAACTTCGAACCCCAAAGATCATATTTGGTATTTTCCCCCTCATTCTATCAAAAAATGGAACCATACCAACCTTGAATGATATTATTGAGTTACAATTACCTCATGCCAGCAAGAAATAAATAAATAAAATAAATCTAATTAACAAGCATTGGTTTAAAAACACATACCGGAATATGAAAAACAATAGGTTGAGTTCCCTCCTGCCGCACTTCACTAGCAGCATTTTTCTACAATTTTCAAAAATTGAAGAATGCTAATCAACTAACAAATGATGTTTCGATGTTTTATTTTGAATTTATTTTTCTACTTTTTTTTTCTTCAATTGTTTTTATTTTCACGGGATGCACAGCTTCTGCATCTGATTCAAACACAACATAGAATGGATAACGATTCATCTTAATAACTCTAATCATTTGATAGCACTGGCGTCAAAATAACATTCACTTCAATCGAGCACCCCTTAAAGTGTTTCAGAACAATCCACAACTCATTTATAATTTTACGAAACATGGGTTTTGCCCTCATAAATGAATCATCAGAACATGTTTTCAAGCATTCAATAGGGTTGATACGCAAACCTTATTTCCAGCATGATGTTCCATCTCTAGATCCCTAAAGCTCCGCCTCTATTTCCAGAAAGTGAAAAAGAATGGAAACATTAGGAATCGAAGATGAGCTATAAACGACATAAGAGAAAGCAGGAAAGATACAAAACAAGGCTGGCAAGACGTCTACCGGCCGATCGCGGATTCGGCGGACGGGCTCTGCGAGGTTGTGGCTGTCGATTTCGATAAGGGGAGTGAAAAAAGAGAGAACAACGATGAAAATGAGGACGATCAAGACGGCGGTAAACATTGTCGATTTGGTTCGTATCGACGGCGACAGTCGGTGGCGCCGCCTCTGGAAAGCCATGCCGTGCCGTGAGCGGCGGCAGGGTGAAGAGAGACGAGCAACGGCGGCCGCGACCTAAGGGTTGGTCGTTGTAGATATCCGAGCACTGCGAGCCATGGATGGAGGAGCCTCCTCCTTTATGGAGCCAATAGAGTGCGGACAACATGAACAGTGAGTCTTTGCTTGGGATTCTATGGCCTATTCCTTGCTGTCGCCCTAAAAGTAGAAAAAGACAAACAAAATATAATCGTCATGTTGCTTATTCAATAAGCCCTAGGGCTATAACTACAAACGGTTTAAGTTTGGGTGAGCTCATATTTGACTCATGTTCGACTCATTCGAAAATTAACTCGTGTTTAAAATTATTCGTCAAAAATATGTCTTATTCCGCCCGAATTACATTTTTTATTCGAGTTTTTCTTTGTTCGTGTTGCCGGTATTCCCTCACAAACAACTAAAAATAATAATAATTTTAATAATTCAAATTATTTTTAACTAGTTGAATAATTAAATTTGTAAAAGCAGAGAAATTTAATATAGAAATTCATGTCTAAAATTGTTATTACATGATTGCCAATGCCAATACTAACTCATCCTTTTAGAAACGCATACAAAAATTCACCGCTGAAAAATCCGATGTGGGACTAAAGTTGGTTAGGAAAATTTCTTTTAAATGTGCGGCTATGAGTTTTTAGGTTATTTAAATGCAGACCACCCAAATCCTATTCATTTACATATGTAATGCCTAAATTTGTATCTTTCTATGAAATATACCGCACAAATATATATATTTTTTTAAAATTAACATTTGTTTAATACATATAAAAAAATTATTATAAAAATAAATTAATTAATATTAGTATTTAATTATTTGGATACTTTGAATAAAATTTAGTATTTGTTTATATATTTTTATTTTTGAACCGACCACGAGCAAACAAGTATTTGTTTGTTTTCGGCTCATTTATAATTCGCGCTTAAAAATTTGTTCGTGATCGGCTCGTTTGGCTTAATAAACAAGTCGAACATTAGTTGTTCTCGAATGAATACCCATTTTGACAGCCCTAATACCCCAACTTATTGATAAATTGGCATTGCATTATTATCATGTTAATAAAAATGGAAATTCAAATTCTAATAGAAAATCACGTTTCATTTTTCTTATGCGCATGCGACGGTGAAGATCACGCCAAACATACGTTTTGCGACGTAATGTTGTACATGATAGTTACTCTTCCAATTTTAATGTATTTGCATGTATAGAATCTAAAGTTTCTTTTTATATATTTATGCCAACTCAATCTTTTGAAGCATTTACGCTCACATGCATAGCACAAAACTCTTATCTATATACATGTCTCGAACCTAAACCTCCATATTTACATGTATACTTCAGATCATTACTATCACATTAGTAATAACATTATTACTACTTCTTAAAAGTGAAATACATAATTTAAAAGCACCAAAGTACTATATATGCAAATATGAAAATTTAGCGGTGAGATATGCAAGTACATAAATATTTTGTGTTGCATGCGTCAATTTCTCAAATATTTTTTATCTCATAAAAATATCACCATTTTAAAATTTTTAAAAGGAGAAAATCACATTTTCATGCAAAAAGAATGAGGGCATGCATGTAAAATTTGAAGTGTAGGTTTTATATATATGCAAATAAATAAGAATTGAGATTTATTTATGTAATCTTCCTAATCAAAAAGGTAATTGATATTAGCTAAATACATCAATGTCTGTCTTTAAATTTACTCTAGCTTCTCATGTTAACTTTCTTATGGGATTTGAATCGTTTCAATATGATTTGTAATAAAGTAAGCTTAATTGGATTAATTTTGATTTGGAGTACTTATATTCTCCTGAAGAGTTAGTGTTTTAACAAAGGAAAATGATATATATTTTTTTTAATTCAGTCACCTCTTAACAATGCATATGTTTCGCATTTTTATCTTGTGCGTGGCACAATGATCTTTGTAAATTTTGATGTTCACATTTTTTTTTTTTACTTTTTTGATATATTCGTTGTTCTGATTAATCGTTGATGATTTAGATAGCGCTCCCGCTTTTCCCTTGTTGAGCTCCTAATTTGTAAGATAGCTAGATGGTCCCAGTCTTGGATCGGTTGATCTTGATTGATACTAGAGGAGTTTTTTTTACTTTGAGATTATGAGGTTTGGGAGGGTTGGTGTGAGAGCAACTTAAATCAAAGTTTTACTCATCTTCTCTCTCTTTGGGTATTTTTTTGAATTCTAACAAATACATTATCATTGTTCTTATTTGCACCATGAACTAACCCTTTTTTATAGGGCTCAAATGCAGTCAAATATTTTATGTTAGCTAATTCTAATTCATTTGTTGCATATTTATAATCTATATTCACACTGTTTTTGTTCTTTTGGCCTATAATTATGAGAAATAAGGTTATTTTTGAAAAAAATAAAATAATTCATGATACATCATTAACAAAATTTCATCGTCTTACACGAATCTCAAGGCATGATACAGATTTCAGTGCAACTTTTTGAGCGAGAAATGTTCAAAATTCGATAAAAGTTATCCTAAAACTATAATTTCAACAAACATACACTAAAAGTGACTGGATTGACAAGAAGAACTCAATGCTAATAAAATTGCTCCAATCTAAACAAAATGAAAAGCAAATCAAGTCATTAAACCGCTTTTGAAAGTTTATTGGGCACATTTGAAAGATCAAATGAATGTCGAATATGACAAGTTTATAATCAAATCGAGCGTCTTGACAAAAGAATCAAACGAGCCCAATATTGCTTAATTCCGACAACGTTAAGACATTTAAATGTCTACCAAAAGTCGTGATCGTTTGATTAAAGTGGTTCATATTCTTGCATTAATTTCATACAAAAATACTATAAATAGATTATCATACCTCTCATGAAGAAGATCAGAGCTTGAGGTTTAAGCAATACTATAAATAGATTATCATACCTCTCATGAAGATCAGAGCTTGAGGTTTAAGAAAGAACTTAAAAGTTTTGAGAAGAATTTGAAGCCTTACATCACTTTTGCCATTGTTGATTGTCGTCGATAGCTATTCACCACCGACAACCGATGTTGACAACCACCTGCCAGCCTCCACTAATCCCTGCACTTCTTATAACAAATTCATTCGCTTGCCATGGTTTATAATTTCAAAATTCATATATAATTTAAATAAAAATTACACATTATTCGAAAACAGTTTTGTTTAACTTAAATATCCCCATAGCTTTCTTTTCGTACGAAATTAAACCACGAACTGGAAGGCACGCCTCCACCATCTCCCCATTCGTACGCAACCCTCTGTGCTACTCAAGTCTCCTCGCCAAGGGAAGAATCGCCGGCCAAATTCCTCTTCGAGGTTGGGGAAGAGGAGAGAGGAAGTGAGAGAGACCGAGCTCATGTCTTCCTTCCTCGCTCCGAGGCCTCTTTCACCGGCGCTCTCTTCTTCCTCATCTTCTCCATTCATCTCGCCGCCTCTGTGCTCTTTCCCGTGCCTTCCTCCCTTTTCTGTATCGTTTCCTCCGCGGAGGCGGAGCTCCTGCAGTTTGAGGGCTCTCTGCGTCCAGGATCCTGGAAGCGTTGCCTCCGGTGGTGACACCAAGCCGCCTAATGGGAATTTGGTACTCTTTTAAGTTTTATCTCTTCCCCTTACTGGCAGCATGTAACGACTTGCTACTCCTGCGTAAGTATAAGGTGCACATTGATTCGACAGGGCAATGTTTCGGCTGCCCGAAAATTAGATTTATGTTGCTGGGAATTGGGAAGACATGTTGTGGATGGATTGATTCAAGCGAGCAATTGTATTTTATGCTTAGAATAATTCCATGCAGTTTAGACTTGGCACACAGATTTTAAAGCTTAGGTTGTATGAGGATCAATTCTTATCTAACCTTTTAGCCAACCAAATTTTCTCTTAGGGCATTTTGGTTTCTTAGGAGAAAGTTGTAAATCCACTTATAGAAGTGCAAGTTGAGGAAGCTATATTTCTTAGAAATTTGTTGGGGTATTTGGTTGAGGAAGCTATATTTCTTAGAAATTTGTTGGGGCATTTGCATACATACCACCTAATTCTTATATATTTTCATATCTAACAACAAAAATTTGTTTACATACCACCTAATTCTTATGTATTTTCATATCTAACAACTAAAATTTGTTTTTTTTTTACATTTATACCACCCAAATCATTCATATCACGCAAAAAATACCACATTTTAACTTTTAAAATGTGAAATACACCTTCTCATACATTGGTAAAATGGCGCGTTTGTAAAAATTAATGTATAGGTCTTAGATGTGTAAATACTTAGGAATTGAGTGTTATGCATGTAAATCTTCCAAAAATGTTTGGTTGGACTTGGCTATCAAGGAAGTGTCTTTTCATCTTCCATTAGTTATGGAGGAAAAGGAAGTGTCTGGAAACCTCAGAAAATTACCTTCATATCAATTTTTATATGGTTGACAATACTATTATGTCCAAATGCACACACATTCAATGGACGACAACAGTATCACACACGTAACAGGGAGTTTAGAGAATCACATATAATCAAATTTACGTGTGAGCTGAGTTCAGGTTACTAAGAGTGGCATACACCACTACCTAAGGTAGCAGGCTCTTCCTCTCTCAGACCAATGGTTGGAATGCTTCCTTGTGTCAATATTCACATTTCCCAAATTATTGCAGATTGAGCCAAGCATGGCCTTAACTTATATTAGCAATGATGGAATATGTTAACCCACTTAAAATTACTAAAACCACGGCCGAACTGGCCCAAGAGTGTGATAAAGTATGCATCACATGAGTTCTTCAACTCTGATCATACATGTTTTTTCCTTTTTTTCAATTTTAAAAAAATTAATCTCCAACTATAATTATACTATTCCAGATGGTTCAACGATTTTCTGTTATTTTTATTAATTTTGCACTGAAAACATTATATACTTCTGCTACCCAAAATTATTGCAAATTATTTTACATTCAGTTCTGATAAATGCAAAGTATTTGCTAGAAAACCACTAATTTGTATTGGAAATCTATCTTTTTAAGTCCTTGCTTGTGCAATACTGCTCATTTAGAAGTACCCTTTCTGCTTTTCCTGTTAGGAGTTTTTGTTTTTACCAGTTTACCATATAGAGTTTCTATTTTTACAGTTTCTATCTGATAGTAACGTGTAACCAAGACATACCTTGTTTGATATTTTAAAACAGCATAAATAGATGTACGGCATGCATAGTCTTAATATGCTTTTAAATGTGATTTTTTATGGTTTTTTAATTTTGTTAATCCATTTTTTTCTCAGCCAAAAAGCAGGAGGGAGATTCTTTTGGAGTATATAAAAAATATTCAGCCAGATTTTATGCAGCTATTTATGAAAAGGGCACCACAGCAAGTACATCAATGTCTAGTTCATTGTGCTCATTTCTTCTACACATTATCCTTTACTTTGTTCCTGTTTTGAATGGAAAAGAGCATATGGTTGACAATACTATTATGCCCAAATGCACACACATTCAATGGACGACAACAGTATCACACACGTAACAGGGAGTTTAGAGAATCACATATAATCAAATTTACGTGTGAGCTGAGTTCAGGTTACTAAGAGTGGCATACACCACTACCTAAGGTAGCAGGCTCTTCCTCTCCCAGACCAATGGTTGGAATGCTTCCTTGTGTCCATATTCACATTTCCCAAATTATTGCAGATTGAGCCAAGCATGGCCTTAACTTATATTAGCAATGATGGAATATGTTAACCCACTTAAAATTACTAAAACCACGGCCGAACTGGCCCAAGAGTGTGATAAAGTATGCATCACATGAGTTCTTCAACTCTGATCATACATGTTTTTTCCTTTTTTTCAATTTTAAAAAAATTAATCTCCAACTATAATTATACTATTCCAGATGGTTCAACGATTTTCTGTTATTTTTATTAATTTTGCACTGAAAACATTATATACTTCTGCTACCCAAAATTATTGCAAATTATTTTACATTCAGTTCTGATAAATGCAAAGTATTTGCTAGAAAACCACTAATTTGTATTGGAAATCTATCTTTTTAAGTCCTTGCTTGTGCAATACTGCTCATTTAGAAGTACCCTTTCTGCTTATCCTGTAAGGAGTTTTTGTTGTTACCAGTTTACCATATAGAGTTTCTATTTTTACAGTTTCTATCTGATAGTAACGTGTAACCAAGACATACCTTGTTTGATATTTTAAAACAGCATAAATAGATGTACGGCATGCATAGTCTTAATATGCTTTTAAATGTGATTTTTTATGGTTTTTTAATTTTGTTAATCCATTTTTTTCTCAGCCAAAAAGCAGGAGGGAGATTCTTTTGGAGTATATAAAAAATATTCAGCCAGATTTTATGCAGCTATTTATGAAAAGGGCACCACAGCAAGTACATCAATGTCTAGTTCATTGTGCTCATTTCTTCTAGACATTATCCTTTAATTTGCTCCTGTTTTGATGGAAAAGAACACATAAACCTGAATGAGTTTGGATCTTTTCTTTTATGAGTTGTTTCATTTCTTTTTTTTTTTAAATGCATAATAGCAGGTTTTCACTATATTTTTTTCACCTCTTGAAGATTGTCGAAGCAATGCGCCAGACCGTGACCAATATGATTGGAACACTCCCCCCTCAATTTTTTGCAGTGACCGTTACCACAGTAAGCAAGCAGTGACATTTAATTTCAGGATGATTTACATGTATATCACTCAATTCTTATGTATTTACATACCTTACACCTAAACCTAAATTTTTACATAAATGCCATGTTACCTATGCACGAAAAGGTGTCTTTCACTTTGTTTTAAGTTAAAATAGTGGTATTTTTTATGTTATACGATATGTTTGGGGGGGTATAAATGTAAAAAAATCAAAGATTTAGTGTTAGATATGTAAATATATAAGAATTGGTTGGTATGTATCTAAATGCGCCTTAATTTTAGAGTCATGTACTTTTTGAGGCATGATGTTCAGTTCCATTTACACTGGTAATATAGGACACTGATTTACTTGCTGGATTAGGTTGCAGAAAACTTGGCGCAGCTCATGTATAGTGTGATGATGACTGGTTATATGTTCAGGAATGCACAATATCGTCTGGAGTTGCAGCAAAGTGTAGAAAAAATTGCACTTCCTGATGTAAAAGAGGTAATTGGTATCGAATTGTTGTTCATTTCTCGAGTAGCAGGAGATATACACATAAACCTGAATGAGTTTGGATCTTTTCTTTTATGAGTTGTTTCATTTCTTTTTTTTTTTAAATGCATAATAGCAGGTTTTCACTATATTTTTTTCACCTCTTGAAGATTGTCGAAGCAATGCGCCAGACCGTGACCAATATGATTGGAACACTCCCCCCTCAATTTTTTGCAGTGACCGTTACCACAGTAAGCAAGCAGTGACATTTAATTTCAGGATGATTTACATGTATATCACTCAATTCTTATGTATTTACATACCTTACACCTAAACCTAAATTTTTACGTAAATGCCATGTTACCAATGCACGAAAAGGCGTCTTTCACTTTGTTTTAAGTTAAAATAGTGGTATTTTTTATGTTATACGATATGTTTGGGGTGTATAAATGTAAAAAATCAAAGATTTAGTGTTAGATATGTAAATATATAAGAATTGGTTGGTATGTATCTAAATGCGCCTTAATTTTAGAGTCATGTACTTTTTGAGGCATGATGTTCAGTTCCATTTACACTGGTAATATAGGACACTGATTTACTTGCTGGATTAGGTTGCAGAAAACTTGGCGCAGCTCATGTATAGTGTGATGATGACTGGTTATATGTTCAGGAATGCACAATATCGTCTGGAGTTGCAGCAAAGTGTAGAAAAAATTGCACTTCCTGATGTAAAAGAGGTAATTGGTATCGAATTGTTGTTCATTTCTCGAGTAGCAGGAGATATAATATATTGATGTTGCTGTTCTATTTTCCTGCAAATCCGCAATCTTGCTAGTGTTGATTGAGCTTACGAACTACTTCAGGCAAGCTCTGAAATTAGAGCGTTGCAATATTTTCTGAATGAGATGACTTAGAAAAGGCTGGATTTGGAAAGTGCATTAATAAGTTTATCAAGATGGTTTTTTAAGAAGGATGAGATTAGATATGAGGCGTTCCTTGAGGAAGATCTTGACTTGAGTTTGTTCATAGTTTGACTTAAAAAGAAATGAGATCCAATGCTTGATAAAAATTTTTTGAAACGGGAGAGTATGGTCATAGGAGTAGTGATCACTTTGCCTTTCTTTGACTTGACGGTCACTGGTTTTGATCATGATGATATTATTGCTTTCAATAAAATTGTGTGCACCAGCACCGTCCTAGATCCGACACTTGCGGAGCATTGAATTTTATCAGGATTTTGTTGCCACTAATGATAGTATTGGTACCAAGGTTCTTATCTTTGTTGTTCATATAGTTTGTCAGGGCGGTGCTTCTTGTTAGGTAATAATAAAACTACTAATGAAATTTTGAGTGATGAATAAATATTGAAACATTTTAAACATATTTAATGATCTGTTCTAGTATTTAAAGAAGATAATTATCAGGTTATGCCCTAGAGTAAATTGATGAAATTAAAAAATGTGAGAAATTGTTAATTATTCAATGAGAAATTGTTAAAATACGAGCAAACCTTGATATGAAATTGAACAAGCAGCATAGAAGCATAAAATATATTGTGCATGAGAAGATAGCGGAGTGACGAAGTGCAACAATATATTAAAAAAACGTGCTTTCGAAAGAACAAGTATCTTTTTGCAGTAATTATACAAAAGCTAATGGTTTACAAAGAGTATTAAACAAAGCAATATCTATTGCTTGTAATGATGATTGATGCGTGTCGTATGTTTGTGGTTAATAAAGAAGAAAGGTAATATATAAAATGTTTAAGCTTGGAGAAATAAGATCTAGAAACTTCAATCAAGTCATGCATTCTAAAAATGAAAATTATAATTTTTTTTGAAGTTCGAAAATGCTATTTCGAGAAATATTGGAATGTATGAAGGAAAAGAAGCTTAGTAGAGAAATGTGTACATCATCATGAAGTATCATATAAATTTTGTTAAAAAATTAAGTTGAAATAGCCTTAAAGAAGATGCTTTGAGATATAATTTTTTGGCTGTGATGAAGTAACTATTGAAATTTGCAGAGTGAGATATAGGGGAAATAGGAAAAGCATATATTCTAATGAAAGGGTAATGCCTAGCATGTGCCAAACGATTGGGGAAAAAAAACGTTGAAATCATTATTTTAAGACAAAATATTCAAATTATTGTTGTTATCAGGGATTAAAACGTAAGAGTCATATGATGAAGTTATAAGAGAGATTGATGGAACCAACAATGAAAAAATCATATTGGTATTGAAGAATCATCATCTAAGAATCTATAATATGGATCGTTTTCGCGCTAAAACAATTTATTAAGTTATCATTTGGAGCGACAAAATAATCAATAATTTTAATTTATCTTAAATGGCATATTAGTGAAAATCACGTTTTCAATGTCTGTAAGGAGAAAAGCTTAATGTGAATTGCTTGTTGAGTGTACTAAATTATGTATGATGTATTTATTAATAGTTGTTGAATGATCAAAGAGTTTCTAATCATGATATAATTATGCTAATGGCCAATTTAAGTCCTTTTTGTATTTTATATAGATGCATACAAAAAAAAATTAGGATGAGTTATATTAATTTATTCAATTTTCATATGATAGTTTCAATAGGTAAGACCCTTTTTTTTTAAAAGAAAATTAAGAGTTAGAGCAATGACAAAACTTTTGTTTGATAAGGGCCTCTAGAGTAATATAAACAACTATAGTAGACATCAATTTAGAATTATTGATCATTTTTAACTCATAAGATCAAATGTATCGGTGTAGAAGTAGAATTGATTTGAAGACAATTTGATGATGTAATTTTGATAAGGATCTTTTTTCTCTCATTATTTATTCCCTTGAAAATTGTCTTAATTTTCCTTTAGACGTAAGAAGAGTTTGGGCGAAGAAAGAAGAGGAAGTTGTTGTAGTGGTAATATAGAATGATTTTTGTTGTAGTTAGGAGAGGAGATAAAAATTAGTCACAAAG